GCAGTCCCACTGGCATAACATGACCTGACCTATGTATTTCTTTCTGCCTTTACCAGCCATGATCTTCTCTCACAGAAAAGGCCACCAAACCTTCTAGTTAGTCTCTACGTAGCCTTCCTGCTACACCTCTGCCTTTTTTGCCTTTTCTTCCAAAGCTGTCTGTCAGTATAGCAGCCTGAGTAAAATTTTAATTGCTCTGCCCAACTTGTCAATGGCTCTTCATTTCAAGGCCAGCCCAGGCAGAAAAATCTGCATGACTCCATCTCCAAAATAACCAGCAAAAAGTTGTGCTGAAGGCATGGCTCAGGTGGTAGAACACTAGCCAAGCAAGTGCAATACCCTGAGTTCAAACCCCAGTACTTACTAAAAACAAATGAATAAACAATCCTAAAGTTTATTGAGAGCCAGGTACCTAGGTATGCATCTTGACAAAATCATTTACATAATGTCCAAAATAGTAAAAATGAATCTATGATCAGTAGAGTAGTAAGCTCAGAGTGGGTAGGGGGGAGCTAAGGATGAGAAGAGGCACCAACACACTCCTGGGTTGCTGGGCGTTGACCATAATTCTGTTTTCACTTTGCATAAATTCACTGAGGTATAAACATAGAAGGTGTGCTTTTCTGGGAATGCTATATTACACTTCAATGAGTAACCACTAAGAAAACAACATCCACATTAGAAGAAGGAAGTAAGAAAACAAAAACACCACCTTCAAACAATCCAAAAGAAAACAATAAATGGATGAAAGACAAGCAGAAATTCAACGTAAGATAGCTGATTATCTACATGTGCCAAGAATTACAAGCCAAGTGCTGCGGGCTCACACAGCAATCGTAGCTTAGGGGGCTGAGAATTGAAGGATTGTAATTCAGGGCCAGCCTGGGCAGAATAGCCTGCAAGACTCCATCTCCAAAATAACAAAAAAAGTTGCACTGAAGAGGTAGCTCAAGTGGTAAAGCATAGGTGAGGACACAAGCCAAACAAGTGTGAGACCCTGAGTTCAAATCCCAACGGTGGAAAAAAGAAGAGGGCTGAAGTAACGGCTCATGTAGTAGAGTACCTTTCCAGCAAATACAAAGCTCTGAGTCCTAGAACCACCAAGGCTTGGAATGTGGCTTAATGGTAGAGTGCTTGCCTAGCATGCATGAATCCATGAGTTTGATTCCTCAGTTTCACATGAACAGAAAAAAACTCAAAGTGGCGCTGTGGCTCAAATGGTAGAGTGCTAGCCCTGAGCAAAAGAAGCTCAAGGATAATGCCCAGGCCCTGCGTTCAAGCCCCAGGACTGACAAATATAAATAAAATAAAATAATTTTAAAAAATCCTAGTAACACCAAAAGAAAAGAGAGTTATAATAATAAATGAGAATGAATATATTAATATATTCACCAGTTAAAAGAAAGCACAAATTTTCACACTGGATACTTAAATTTAGTTACGTTCTGTCTATAAGGACACATGTAAAGAAAATAATATTATGTTCTGTTTATAAGGATACACATAAAGAAAATTATATGAAAATGTTAAAATTAAAGGTTAAAATAAAAGCACTGAAAAAAACAATGTTGGGTGCCAAAGGCCCCTGTAATCTTAGCTATTTAAGGGGCTGAGATCTGAAGATCATAGTTAAGAGTTATCCCAGGAAGAAAAAAACGTTTGTGAAATTCTTCTCTCCAATTAACCAGCAAAAAGCTAGAAGTAGAGGTGTGGCAGAGCACTAGACTTGAGTTAAAAAGCCGAACAAGAATGAGAGCTCAAGACCCAGTATCAACTCGTACAAATACACACAAAAAGACATGTCAGTAAATGCTAACTAATAAAGATTGCATGCCGGGTGTTGGTGGCTCATGCCTATAATCCTAGCTACTCAGGAGCCTGAGATCTGAAGCCAGCCCAGGCAGAAAAGTCCCTGTGAGACTCTTATCTCTAATCAACTACCAGAAAACCAGAAGTGGAGTTGTGGCTCAAAGTGATAGAGCACTAGACTTGAGCAAAAGAGCTCAGGGACAGTATTCAGGCCCTGAGTTCAAGCCCCATACCCACCAACAAAAAGAATACAGTAAGCCATATTAATGACATAGATTAAATTATTAATAACCGAAAAAAATCCTATAGAGCTAAAATATTATTAAAGTTTGAAGATTGTATCATGAGACTGGGGAGTTTAATTCTCAGTTTGCATAAACCTAATAAAGTAACCTAAAGATATTATGTATTTATTAAAGAATGATAGAATAAATAAAAGCACATCAAAGATGTCAATAGAACCATTGATAAGCTTTTTTTTCCCTGTCAGTCATGGAGCCTGGGCTCTGTCCCTGAACTCTTCAGCTCAAAGCGAGCCACAGAACCACTTCCAGCCTTTTCTGCTTATGTGGTGCTGAGGAATTGAACCCAGGGCCTCATGAATGCAAGGTAAGCACTCTACCACTAAGCCACCTTCCCAGCCCCCACCTTCATAAACTTAATCTAACAAACAAGTACATAGAATATCACACCCAACTATAAAATACACATTATTTTCTTTCTTTTTTTTTGGTTGGTCATGGGGCCTGAACTCTGGGCCTGGGCAATGTCCCTCAGCAATTCAGTTCAAGGCTAGTGCTCTACCACTTGAGCCACAGCTCCACTTGTGGCTTTTTCTGCTTATGTGGTGCTGAGGAATTGAACCCAGGGCTTCATGCATGCAAGGCAAGCACTCCACCACTGGGCCACTTCCCCAGTCCATATACATTATTTTCAATTACATGATGATCTATTAATCCTGGCATATGGTGGGCTCAGAGACAAGGCTCAATGAATTTAAAGGGCTTAGTGTCATTCATAAAACATTCTCTAATCAGAATACAAATATGCTACAAGTCAAGAGAACTAGGAAAATACTAATGCTTAATTAGTAGTAATGGGCTGGGCATAGTAGCTGGCACTTACAGCTCCATCTACTCAGAAGGCTGAGGTAGGAAAATCTCTTGAGTTTAGGAGTTTATGACCAACCTGGACAATACAGTGAGACCCTATCTCAAATGCAAACAAAAAGAAAAATAAGAAAAGCCCTACACCACCCACATTTCTGAACATTTCAAGAGAATGTATTAACTATGAGTTTTTCTTTCTTTCTTTCTTTTTTGTCAGTCTTGAGTCTTGATCTCAGGACCTTGGTGCTGTCCTTGAGCTCTTTTGCTCAAGGCTATTACTCTACCACTTAGAGTCACAGCTCTACTTCTGGTTTTCTGCTGGCTAATTGGAGATAAGAGTCTCATGCATTTTCCTGCTTGGGCAGGCTTTGACCTTGATCCTCAGATTTCAGCCCACTGAGCAACCAAGATTATAGGCATGAGCGACCAGCACCCAGCTCTTCTTCCTTTCTCCTTCCTTCCTTCCTTCCTTCTTCCTTCCTTCTTTCCTCTTCCTCCACCTCCTCCTCTTCCCTCTTCTTCTTTTTGGTCTGTCATGGGGCTTGAACTTTGGGCCAGGGCACTGTCCCTCAGCTCTTCAGCTCAAAGCTAGCACTCTACCACTGGAGCCACAGCACCACTTCTGGTTTTTTAGTGGTTAATTGAAGATAAGAGTCTCATGGACTTTATTCCTGGGCTTGCTTTGAACCTCAATCCTCATATCTCAGCCTCCTGAGTAGCTAGGATTACAGGTGTGAGCCACCGGTGCCCGGCTCTTTCTTCTTTTGTATTTTATTTTTATTTTTTTTGCCAATCCTGGGGCTTGAACTCAGTGCCTGGCCACTGTCTCTGAGCCTCTCTGTGCTCAAGGCCAGTGCTCTACCACTCGAGCCACACCACCACTTCCAGCTTTTTCTGTTTAAGTGGTACTGAGGAATCAAACCTGGGGCTTCATGCATACTAGGCAAACATTCTACCACTGAGCCACATTCCCAGTCCCTTTCTTCTTTTTTAAATCATCTTTAAGTAGTTATACAAAGGAACTTCTATTCAAAATGTCAGTTTCTGAGTACAATGCATCTTGATTTCTCCCAGCCTCACCCATCCCCTCAATTTACCCAGTTTCATTTTCACAAACGTACATTGCATATTATGACTGCAGCAAAATGCGCAACTTTGTATATGTATTAGACAAGGAGAAGGCTGGATCAAAAACCCCTATGCTTCACATAAAAGAAGGAAATAATAAAGGCAGGATGGGAGAGCTTTGAAACAGAGAACAAATACAGGAGAAAGCTTGGGAGATAATCACTTCTATTTCCCAGATGGAACCCATAAGAAAAGATTAGCACCAGTCACAACACAACAACTGCATGTGAAGATTTAGACAAAATGAACAAATTCTAGATTGCATTTTTCTCTGTTTAAAGTGCTTCTTAATACAGAATTTAAACCCATGCTTAAAACTGATGCTACATTAGACTTAAAAAACCCAGACCGTTTATAGGCAGAAAAGTTTGTGTGTGTGTGTGTGTGTGTGTGTGTTTAAACTTCAAAACTCAGGTGACTGAGCAGAAAAACTGTGGTGTTCTTTGTTTTGTTTTTCCTCCACCGCAGAGACAGGAAACCCCACCTGGGTGCTTTAGGTAGCTGAAGAGGTTAAGCTGCTAGCAGGACTAAGCAGTTTAGAGCAGGCCAGAAGGGTCTGACACTCACTTCCCCCAGGTAGAATAGTAGAGTATTGCTCCTCTCCTGCTGGTGCTGTGTTCCTTTTTTTCCCCGCCCTAAATATTTCAGCTATTTAAGGGGACACACATTTTCTTGCCTTTAGTATAAGCAATGGGAATGGCTACCATCTCAGTATGAACAGGTGGTCCTGGATGGTGTTAAAAGGTGCTTTTGACCCTCTCCTAATCAGGTGTGATCATCCCAGTTTTACACCATCAGTAGAGTAACTTGTTCAGAGTCTTACCCCTAGTTGGTGTTTAGGACACTCAAGCGGTCATTTCTTGTCACCTACTCTTTTAAACATGCAGGCTCCAGGCAGGAAGTCATCTAGAGCACAATGAGCTCAAAGCACCATCACCCTTTGGAAGCACTCACCTTCTCGATTACCTTGCGAATAGCAAAATACTTCCTGGTGAGGTCCCCGGCCTCGGTCAGGGGGGCATCATAGTCGTAGCTGGTGGGCTGTGCTGCATAGGGTGTGTTGGCCCCTACGAGACAAAAGCCATGCCACTAGTTACTCCAGAAAGGCCTGACTTGGGACAAGTTCCTGGGGGACCCATGTCCTCAGGATCTTGGAGAAGATAAATAAAGGACACGTTAAATCAACTGCTAAACGACACTGAAAAACTTTTTTTTTTTTTGCTCAAGGCTAGTGCTCTACCACTTTGAGACACAGCTCCACTTCCAGTTTTCTGGTAGCTAATTGGGAGATAAGAGTCAAACAGGGACTTTTCTGACCTGGCAGGCTTTGAACTGCAATCTTCAGATCTCAGAGAGCTAGGATTACAGGTGTAAGCCACCAGTGCCCAGCTCACAGACGTACTTTTTAGAGTGGTAAGTTTGTTCCTACAGGTGTATCAAGCACCCTAGAGTCCCCAAAGCAGACTTTCTATCCCTCCTTCCCTCCTCCCCCGACTCTCTGGAAGCTCATAGCTGTCATTCTAACAGATATCTCCTTCTGGGGATAAGCAAGGTACCTGGATCTTCCTTCCTCCCACCCAAAATCTGTTAGCATCTCAGGACCAGTCATGGCAGGGCATATGACAAAATGTCCCTATTAACCTCCAGGGTCTTTTTTTCATGTCTTCAACCCGCGAGGTAAGTAGACAAAGTAATGTGGGAAATGACTGCAGACAGGCAGGCCTTTGGATCTGCAGATACAAAGGAGGCAGCTGCTGTGTGCTCTTGGCTCCCCTCTTCAGGACAAAGGCACAGTCACTGCCTTAATGCCAGGGCATGGCTACCCACACTTCTCAAATGTGACCCTCGTGGGCGTGGCCTCTGCTCAATTGCCTTCCCCTGGGTTACAAGCCCCTAGGGATAGCTTGCATCCAAAGCTGATCAGGACACAGCCAATTGCCTCAAAAGGCAATCCTGGCTTCAGAATTCCCTCCAGTGGGCCAAAGCCATTCATAAAATGGCATTACAACCCAACCCTGCAAACCTTTCCTCCCATGCTGTCTTACAGATGTAGTCCTGAGGGCAGCCCAAGGGCACAGTCATCCTGGACTTGTGTTTCCCAAGAAACCTGACCCACCTAACACACAAAAAAAAACAATGAAGGGCATCAAAGACTTGCCTACAAAAAGGCTAGCATTGTCCAAGAGTCTAGAGCACAAGCATCCTCTGTGACTAGGTCTGGATTCTGATGTTTACAGATAGAAAGCTGTCTGTAATAGTAGGAGGTCATCAAATTTTTGATCCTTGAGAAGAGTCACATGGAGAGACTGTTAAGATACAACTTTTGATCTGGGGATATACTTCAGTGTAAGGTCCTGTCCTAATCTCTAGTACAAGGAAAGAGAAAGAAACAAAAAAAAAGAAAGGGGGAGAAGAGAAAGAGAGAGAGAGGGAGAAGAAGAAAGGAAGGGAGGGAGGAAGGGAGGGCAAGAAAGAGAAGAAAGGAAGGAAGGAGGGGGGAAGAGAGGGAGAAAGAAAAAGGGGAGGAAGGAAGGAAGAAGGGAAGAAAGAGACCCCCACAATTTCTATTTTTATTTTTTTCTTGCCAGTCCTGGGGCTTGAACTCAGGGCCTGGGCACCGTCCCTGAGCTTCTTTTTACTCAAGCCTAGCACTTACCACTTGAGCCACAGCACCACTTCTGGCATTTTCTAAGTAGTTTATTAGAGATAAGAGTCTCATAGACTTTCCTGCCAGGGCTAGCTTCAAACTGCAATCCTCAGCTCTCAGCCTCCTGAGTAGCTAGGATTTCCGGCGTGTGCCACTGGCTCATAACCCCACAGTTTCTAAGGCCCACCTCCAGAGATCTTGATTCAGCAGAGAGAACTAGATGGCACCCAGCTTTGTATTGGCTGAGATAGAATTTTGGAAGCTTTTTGTCTAGAGTGGACTGGAACCACAATTTTTCTTATCTGAGTACCTACTGAGTGACTAGGGTGATTGGAGGCATGGGTCACACCATACCCAGCTTGAGACTGCATTCTTAACAAGATCCTGGGTCATGGTACCCTCCTGGGTAAGGCCAGCTTGGAACCAGAAAGTTTTGTACCTTTCTCTTGTACTTCAAAAGACCCCTCAGCAACACAAGAAAGTGATTTTAGGGTTTCATCTTTTATCCAATCTAACTTATAATTAATCAAATGAGGCACAAAATAAGGTAGATCAGCCAGGTATGGCAGTACATATCTCTAATCCTGGCACATGAGAGGTGGAGACAGGAAGATTGGGAGTTCAAGGCCAGCCTAGCTTACATAAAGAGCCCCTGTCTATATTTTAAAAAGAAAAGAGACAGTTCACCCCAATATTAGCAGTAAATTCCTTGAGACGGTTTACAAATGATGGGCAGAGGGTGATTCTACCATTGGTGGAGGGAGACTAAGGATCAAGGCAAAAGTGGGTTTTTTTAAGGGGGTGGGGGTCAAAGTTCTCTGCATAGAATTCCTATCTTTGAAGACCTGGCTCCCTGAACCAACTAATCTTCTTCCTTTTCTTCTTAACAAGGTCATAGCCAACAGGTCTGCCCGCCTTAGGGGAAGCACAGGTTAAAACACATTCCTTCATGTGAGACATCAAGAAACATAAAACCACATCCTCCCTCCGGGAGCTCACCTTCTTTGTGGCTCCGCTTCTACCTTGTGTGTCTGGGCTGGGCGGGGAAGGTTCTCACTCAGGTCTTGCTCTGCACTGAACCTGCTCGCCTCCAAGAACTGACTGTGCCTCAGCACTTTAGTCACGCCAAGTACAGTGCAGGCTCAGCAAGTGGTGTCACCCTTGAGTGGAACAGTGAGGCTTTGGAAACAAACCCATCAGGCCTCAGCCTCATCAGGCTGGGAAGCAGGTGGCATGGAGACCAAAGCTTTCATCTAGTTCTACCACTTCTTCCTGTGGATGCCTCCAGCCCAGCCCAGGGCAGGGAAATAGTCCATGTTCAAGAGGATGAGAAGCAGGAAGGCAGTAGAAAGGGGGAGACATCGTGCTCCTCAACTCTCCACACTGTGGAGACAGCCTGGGTCTCCCAGGCAGCTGTCACACACATGTGGACACGCAGAGACACGGGATATGCGGACAAAAACGGCAGATGGAGGACAGACAGGCCAGAGAATGCAGCAGGGCTGGTTCGGGGGCTGGCTCAGGGACTGCAAAGGGCAGTGGCACTGGTTAACTGAGACCTGAGCTTGAATCCAGGTTCTACCCTATGCCAAGAAACATGTGGGTATTTGTGCATCCAGATACTCTTATCTATCAATTGCTGTTGACCTTCCCTAGCCCATCTGAGTCTGATATGAGAATTACTTGAAAATAGAGCAGAAAGAGGGCTGATGGATTCGCAGTAGAGGCAGGAGGAAAAGGAGCTGTGTGAAGACAGATTTTGCTTCCTGAGTGATGGGTTTTGTTTTGTTTTTGGTGTGAGTACTAAGGTTTGAACTCAGGACCTTGTACTCTTGCTTGTTTGTGTTTGTGTTTCACTCAGAACTGGTACTCTATCATGTGAGCGACACCTCCAGTTTGGCTTTTATTGCCCGTTGTTAATTGGAGATGAAGTCTCGGGGTTGGCTTTAAACACCGATTCTCAAGCCTCAGCCTTCTGAATTACAGGTGTGAGTCCCCGGTGTGTCGCTGAGTGATAGTTTTATTTTGTCTAAATTTCTTCTCTAAAAAGACTGTACTAAACAGTAACATTAGTGGGGAGGGGGATGGTAGACCTGGGGCTTGAACTCAGGACCTCTTGCTTTCACTCAGCTTTTCCATTCACAGCTGATGCTCTACCAGTTGAGTCATACCTCCACTTCTGGTATTTTGCTGGTTAAGTGGAGAACAAAGTCTTTCAGATTTGTCTATGTGGGATACCTTTGAACCATGATCCTCAGATCTCAACCTCCCAGGTAGCTAGGATCATAGGCATAAGCCATCAGCTTTGCCATAAGATTTTTAAGCCAGATGCTGGTGGCTCATGCCTGTAATCCTAACTACCCAAGAGACTGAGATCTGAGGATTGAAGTTCAAAGCCAGCCCAGACAGGAAAGTCCACGAGATTCTTACCTCCAACTAACCACCAGAAAACCAGAAATGGTGCTGTGGCTCAAGTGGTAGAGCACTTGCCTTGAGCTGAAGAGCTCAGGGTCAGTGCCCGGGCCCAGAGTTCAAGCTCCATGACCGACAACAACAAAAAGAAAAGATTTCTAAAAATAATGTCACGCACTGTAAAGTTATATAATGTTCCAGTCTTTCTTCTTCAACCAATTAGCCTCAGTTCTATCACTGGCACCTGAGCCAGGTGGGGCCCCCTCTGCTAAGTGAACAAGGTATCACCCAGACTCAACCCTAGACACACAGAAAGCCTCACATCCATAGCCAACCTCAGCGCACTACTTTTTGTCTGAATGCCAGGGCTGGTGCTTAAACTTAGGGCCTTGCACTCTCACTTGGCTTTTTCACACTCTACAATGGAAGCACACCTTTACTTTGGGCTGTTGGTGGTTAATTGGAGTTGAGACCTCATGGACTTTTCTTCACTGACTAGCTTCAAACCATAACCTTAGATCTCAGCATCCTGAGTAACCAGAATTAAAAGTATAGCCATGATAACCGGGCACTGGTGGCTCATGCCTGTAATCCTAGCTACTCAGGAGGCTGAGATCTGAGGATCGCGGTTCAAAGTCAGCCCGGGCAAGAAAGTCTGTGAAACTCACCTCCAATAAACCACCAGAAAACCAGAAGTGGCGCTGTAGCTCAAGTGGTAGAGTGCTTGCCTTGAGCTCAAGAGCTGAGGGAAAGTGCTCAGGCCTAGAGTTCAAGTCCCACTACCTACAAAAAAAATAAAATAAAAGTATAGCCGTGAGTACCTAGCTTCAGCACACTTTTAAGACTGTCTTTTAAGCAGTGAGGGGTTTTCTACTCTCTTCTGCTTTGCTCTGACAACAGTAATGACATTGGCAACATTTGTAAGACTGGTCTTCTCCTAGCCCATCTCACTCTGCCAGACAGATAGCAGACAAAAGGGAGCGGTTGGTCATGGGGTTTGAACTCAGGGCATGGGCTCTGTACCTGAGCTCTTTTGCTCAAGACTAGCACTCTATCACGTTGAATCACAGCGCTACTTCCAGTTTTCTGGTGGTTAATTGGAGATAAAGAGTCTCATGGACTTTCCTACCCAGGCTGGCTTCAGACTGTGAGCCTCAGATCTCAGCCTCCTGAGTAGCTAGGATTACAGGCATGAGCCACCAGCACCTGGCTTGAAACTCCATTTCTTAATAGATGATAGTACCTAATTTTAGATCCTGAGAGATTCACTCCCATAGCTTCCAAAATACAACATTCTGGCATCATCAATAATTCAATGAGATAAACGCAGATGCTGAGAGGTGGGGAATGATGATTATATACAACACGTCATCTGCCTTTGTAAAATTAATAAAAATGCTGAGGAATTTGTCATAACCTTCCATATCCTCCTCTGAGATATGGGAATGTAAAGTGGTACTATCACTTTAGAAAACATCACAACTCAGCGTTACCATACAACCCTACAATTCCACTCCTATGACAAACTCCAAAAAAGCAAAGATCCAGACACCTATATTCCTACCTCCACAACATCATTCACCAAAGCCCCAGAGTAAAATTAACCCACGTGCCTATCAACCAATGAATGGATAACAAAATATTGTATAACCACATCATAAAATAGTATTTAGTAATAAACATTTTTGAAGTGCTAACACATTCTACAACATGGACAAGCCTTAGGAATATTAGTTTAGCTGGGCACTGGTGGTTCACATCTGCGATGCTAGATATTCCAGAGGTTGAGATCTAGTACAGAGCTAGTCCAGGCAGACAAATCTTGAGCGATTCTTATCTCCAATTAACCAGCAAAAAGTTGGAAATGGAGCTGTGGCTCAAGTGGTAGAATGCCAACCTTGAGCAAAAAAACTAAGGCCCTAAAAGAACAATAAAGAAATATTAGGCTAGATGAAATAATTCATTTTGTAGTGTTCCTTTTTTGTTGTTGTTGTTGGTTGTGGGGCCTGAACTCTGGGCCTGGGCGCTGTCCCTCAGCTCTTCAGCTCAAGGCCAGTACCCTGCCACTCGAGCCACAGTGCCACTCCCAGCTTTTTCTGCTTATTTGGTGCTGAGGAATAGAACTCAGGGCCTCATGCATGCAAGGCAAGCGCTCTACCACTGAGCCACCTTCCCAGCCCCTAAATGAAAAAGTTCAGGTTGGAAACCTACGTATTTCATGGTTTCATTTATATGGAATATTTAGGACAGGTCATTGACAGGGGTGGGCATGGAGGATATGAGATTCGTTTAGGTGTAACAAAAATGTCCCAGAATTACTAACATAATAGTTAAACAATTTTGAGGACATACTAAATACTGAATTTTAATTTTACAGTATTATAATTATATAGTGCTTCATACAGTAAATCATATCTCAAAATAAACAAATTATAACTCAGCTAAACAAAGCATTAAAAAAAAAACCAGGGGTCTGGGAATGTGGTTTAGTGGTAGAGTGCATGTGTGAAGCCCTAGGTTCGATTCCTCAGTACCACATAAAGAGAAAAAGCCAGAAGTGGTGCTGGGGTTCAAGTGGTAGAGCGCTAGCCTTGAGGACAGAGAGGCTCAGGGACAGGCCCAGGCCCTGAGTTCAAGCTCCAGGACCACAACCAACAACAAAAAATTCATTAAAAAAAAAAAATCGAGGGGGACTGGGAATGTGGCTTAGTGGTAGAGTACATGCCTAGGATGCATGAAACCCTGGGTTCGATTCCTCAGTACCACATAAACAGAAAAGGATGGAAGTGGCACTGTGGCTCAGGTGGTAGAGTGTTAGTCTTGAGCCAAAGAAGCTCGGGAGATTGCCTAGGCCCAAAGTTCAAGCCCCAAGATTGGTCAAAAAAAAAAAAAAACCCAAAGAAAAACAACAACAAAACAGGACCATGATAGAAAACACAAATATCCACAGTCATAGTTTATGTCTGTGTGAATCCCACCCAGATACTCTGGTATTCATAAGGCTTTTCAATGCTTACAACATGTCCCTTGATTAAAAAAAAAAAAAGTAAATTGAGGTTAAGTGCCTATAATCCTAACTACTCAGGAGGCTGAGATATGAGGATTGTAGTTCTAAGCCATCCCAGCCGGTAAAGTCTGTGACTCTTCTCTCCAATTAACCGCCAAAAGCTAAAGCTCATGTAGAGTGCTCTAGCCTTGAGCAAAAAAGCTCAGGGACAGCACTCAGGCCTTGAGTTTAAGTACCAGGACTGGCCCCAAAATAAAGTAAATGGAGCCAGGTACCCGTGGTTCACAGCTGTAATTCTAGCTCCCAGAAGGCTGAGATCTGAGGATTGAGATTCAAAGTGATCTTAGAAGAGTTCATGAGACTCATCTCCAATTAACCACCAAAAACCAAAGTCAGAGGTGTGGCTCTAGTGTTTGACAGCCTTGAGCAAAAAGCTGAGGGACAGGGGCTGGGAAGGTGGCTCAGTGGTAGAGTGCTTGCCTTGCAGCCTTGCATGCATGAAGCCTTGGGTTTGATTCTTCCACACCACCAGCAGAAAAAGCTGGAAGTGGCGCTGTGGCTCAAGTGGTAGAGCACTAACCTTGAGCTGAAGGGCTGAGGGACAGTGCCCAGGCTCAGAGTTCAGGCCCCACGACTGACCAAAAAAAAAAAAAAAAGCTAAGGGACAGTGCCTAGGTCCTCAGTTCAAGCCCCAGAACCAATGCATACACAAAAAAAGCTGAAAATAAAGCTGTCACTCAAGTGTAGAGTACCAGTCTGGAATGAAAAAGCTAAAGGGACATAACCCATGGACACTCAAAAGTAAATTAATCATATAGGTAATTCTCTCATATATGAGAAAATTTAGAAAACAAATTTAGAAAATAATTGTTCAAAGCTGGGCGCCAGTAGCTCACACCTGTAATCCTAGCTACTCAGGAGGCTGAGATCTGAGGATCACAGTTCAAAGCCAGCCTGGGCAGGAAAGTCTGTGAGACTCTTATCTCCAATAAACCACTAGAAAACCAGAAGTGGCACTGTGGCCCAAGTGGTAGAGCGCTTGCTTTGAGCTGAAGAGCTGAGGGACAGCGCCCAAGCCCAGAGTTCAAGCCCCACGACGGCCCAAAAAAAAGAAAGAAAATAATTGTTCATAGGTCTAATAATTGTTCATAGGTATACTTCCCCAAATCAAGCACCAGAAACATACATAGCTTCTACAAACAGATATTAAATGGCTCTTACCATTCCAATAGGCAAAATTGGTCCCGCCTATAAACATGTACCTACAAGGAAATAAGAGAACACACAGAACTTCATTGTAAGCCAAGACTGCTGGGGAGCCCTTCCCCCATATCTAATACTTACAAATTCACACTTGCCCCTCGGGAAAGGATATTAGTGAGAGTGGAGACCACGGTTGCTGTACTGACTGTGGAATGAGGCTGGCCCCAGTGGTCTAACCAGCCAGTATAGAATTCAGAGTTGATCTACAGGAGAAAAGAGGAAGCAGAGCATGTGGCTGAAGTGTTCAAGGACCAGTCTTGAATGAAAAAGCCAAGAAAGAACTTAATGCCCTGAGTTCAAGCCAGTAGCAGCGCGCACGCATGCATGCACACACCCACAGGAACAGAAAATGGAGCTTAGGACAGACTCATGACTTCTGGATGCTTGGCACTCCTGTAAAGCCCCTTCTGCCCCACCAAGGGACAGCAGAAAGGGCATATTGACATGCACTGTTTAACCCAAGGGTTGGTGCCAACTTGCCATGAGGTCTCATCTTCACAGTTTAAGTGCAGCCAGTTCTCATAACCATGGGCTCTTCATCCATAGATTAAATCAAACATAGATCAAAACTATTTGAGAAAGCTGGATGTCAATGACTCATGCATGTAATCCTAAACTACTCAGGAGGCTGAGATCTGGAGGATTCAGGTATAAGGTCAGTCCAGGAAGAAGAGATTCCATCTCCAGCAGTGGCTCATACTTGTAATCCTAGCTACTCAGAAGGTTGAGATCTGAGGATTGCAGTTCAAAGCTAGCCCAGGCAGAAAGGTCCTGTGAGACTTTTATCTCCAATTAACCACTTAAAAACCAGAAGTGGCACTGTGGCTCAAGTGGTAGAGCACTTGCCTTGAGCTGATGAGCTGAGGGACAGCGCCCAGGCCCAGAGTTCAAGACCCACGACCGACAATAAATAAATAAATAAAATAAAAAAACAGACGTAGTGTAGTGGCACATGTGGTAGAGAGCTAGCCTTGAGCACAAAGAGACTCAGGGACAGCACCCAAGCTCTGAGTTCAAGCCCCACAATTGACCAAACAAAAACAAAAATCTGGAAATTGGGCACTGTTGGCTCACAGCTATAATCCTAGCTCCTTGGGAGGCTAAGATCTGAGGATCACAGTTCAAAATCATACCAGGCAGAGAAGTCCATGAATATCTTTTTTTTTTTAATTTTTTTTTTTTTTTGGTCCGGTAGTGGGGCCTGAACTCTGGGCCTGGGCGCTGTCCCTCAGCTCTTCAGCTCAAGGCTAGCGCTCTACCACTTGAGCCACAGCGCCACTTCTGGCTTTTTTCTTTTTGCTTATGTGGTGCTGGGGAATCGAACCCAGGGCCTCAGGCATGCAAGGCAAGCGCTCTACCACTGAGCCACCTTCCCAGCCCCCATGAATATCTTTTACCTCTAATTAACCAGCAAAAAACCTGAAGTGAAGCCATGGCTTATGTGATAGAGCACCAGTCTTAAACAAAAAAAAAAAAGCCAAGCAAGGATGTGAGGCCCCCAAGTGGTAGAGCACTAGCCTTGAGCTGAAGAACTGAGGGACAGCGCCCAGGCCCAGAGTTCAGGCCCCACGATTGGACCCAAAAAAAAAATTATAAGAAGACAAAATAAACAGTAACCCTAAATTCACATAGCATTTACATGGTATAGGTATTTTGTTTCCTGGAGATTATTTAAAGTATACTAGAGGATGCCTGTAGGTCAAATGTAAATATCTGCTCCATTTTAATAACGGTCTTGAGCACCAACTGATTTTTTCCTGAGGAGAAGTTCTGGAACCAATGCCTGTGGATACTGAGGGGTTGCTCATTACTGGGAGGAGCAGGGTGCTAGCAAGCCCACCTCAGGGTGCTCAGCAACACCTACCCCATACCATCTTGCTGTTTGCTAAAAATGTAAGCCATCAAGCTCTATCCATACCCGGGAGACTTACTTTTTCCATTTTAATCAACACCTTTATTCCTAAAAGGTTTCACCTACATCGATTTTGGTAGAGTGCTTGCAGGCAGGAAGTCCTGGATTCCTCAATACCACATAAACAGAAAAAGCTGGAAGTGGTGCCATGGCTCAAGTAGTAGAGTTGCTAGCCTTGAGCAAAAACAGCTCAGCGACAGTGCCCAGGCCCTGAGTTGAACAAGACCTAGTATTGGCACACACGCGCGAGCGGGCACGCGCACACACACTCACACTCACACACACACACACACACAGCTCCAAATTGCTGTTTTCATACCATTCGTCATTAGTTTGAACACAGATTTTTCAGATCTCAGGCTGACTTATAGAATGAAGACCCCTTGTCCAAGTTTATTTGCTTACTGGAATGGTAAGAACAATTTAATGTCTATTGTTCTGGGAGGGGGTGGGAAGAGAGAAACATGGATGATGCAGGTTCCAGGAAATAGCTCCACCCAAAATCTGTGTGTACAGGCTCGGTCCAGCTCAAAGCAAAGACTGGATGAGAAAAGGCTGTTTGTAAACAAGGCTTGCACACAGGTGCTGAATGAATAACAGCAACCACGCTGAAGAAGGAACGGGCCTGCTAAGCACCAGTGGCTCATGCCTGTAATTCTAGCTGTTCAGGAAGCTGAGATCTGATGACTGCGGTCAAAGCCAGCTGGGGCAGGAAAGTCTGTGATACTCTTACCTTCCAATTAAACAACAAAAAGCTAGAAATGCATCTGATCATACAAAATAATAATTATCACAATGAAATCCAGGAAATGGAAATGAGCATTTTTTTTCTTTTTCTTTTTGTTTTCTTATCCTTTTGTTTGTTTAGCTGTCTTTGGGAAGGTGGGGGGGCACAGAAATGGAAGGTAGATAAATACAGCAGTGGTACTCATTAGAAACTATGTTGAAAACAAACTATACAACTTATGGGCAGAGATGGAAGGGAAAACTGGGAGAGAGCGAGCGTGAGGGAAGGAGAGACATTGTTAAAAAAGAAATGTACCCTATACCTGCCTGATGTAACTGTAACCCCTCTAAATACCACCTCACAATAATAATTTTTTTAAGGCAGAAGTGGAGGTGTTATGTCATCCTTGAGAGAAAAATCTAAACAGGAGCTCAAGACCTTGAGCCCCAGTATAGAACCAGCACAAAAGAAAAAAAAAGAGGGGGTAGAGTGGGGAAAGGGCTTCAAAACATTCACACCCGCCTGGCCCCTGCCACAATCTCCTCTTCCCAGTAGCTCCACAATGTGCCAGCAAGCCCACTACAGGGCAGTGGGCAAGCTACATCCCCAGTACCACCTGGCTGCCTGAAAATGCAGTTGTCACGGCTCCATTCAGACTTGGCAGAGTGAACAGCATATTTTAATCAGATCCCTAAGTAATTCATAAATACTTGAAAAGTGGACACGTTCTGCCACAAAGAGCTCTCAAAGATACATACAACTTTCTGAGCACCAATGGCTCATGCCTGTAATCCTAGCTACTCAGGAAGCTGAGATCTGAGGATTGTGGTTCAAAGCCAGCCTGCACAAGAAAATCTGTGAGACTCTTATCTCCCACTAACCACCAGAAAAGTGGAAGTGGTGATGTGGCTCAAAGTATAGAGCACTAACCTTGAGTGAAAAAGCTCAGACAGTGCCCAGACCCTGAGCTCATGCCCCATGACAAGAAAGAGAGAAAGAGAGAGAGAGAGAAAGAGAAAGAAAGAAAGAAAGAGGAGAAAAGAAAGAAAGATCTGAACCAGATCACAACCTAGCCACTCCTGGCCTGTGCAAAGTGATATATGCACCTGTGACTCATTGCACATTGGGACACTAGGACCACTTGTGGGATTTGCCTGGTCCACTCATGTTAATCTGGCATTGGTTTCAATTCACTGGGTTGTTTCTGCTGTTATCTATGAGTCCAGAAAGTTATGTCATCCTTCTATGCCATATACTGATCCTGCAGCCAGACAAATGAAGGATGTACTATGTCTCTCTTGAACCAGCAACTGTGATGGAGTTGGCATAAACCAACAGTCTCCAGCCCATATCCCAATTCTCACCAAAGGTCCTTGGGGCTCAACATTCCTCTGGAATAGGAAAGCCTCTGTGACGTTGCTGTCTGAAAAGTAAAAGGAGGAAAGGAAAGGTCAGCTATCAGAGTGGCAGGAAGTTAAGCAACAAGGGCCTCCATGGGACTTGAGCGAATACCCTGCTATGGGTGAAATTGTACCAACCACTCAAAATTCGTAATTTGGAATCTCATCTCTAATATGACAGTATTTTGGGGGGGGGATCCGGTCGTGAGGCCTGAACTCTGGGCCTGGGCACTGTCCCTCAGCTCTTCAGCTCAAGGCTAGCGCTCTACCACTTGAGCCACAGCGCCACTTCCGGCTTTTTTCTTTTTATTTATGTGGTGCTGAGGAATTGAACCCAGGGCCTTAGGCATGCAAGGCAAGTGCTCTACTACTGAGCCACCTTCCCAGCCCCAATATGACAGTATTAAGAGGTGGAATCTTAAGCTCCATGCTGGTAGATTAAACCTAAGGATCAGTAGTTCAAGCCAACGTAGGAAGACAAGGCCAAAAGACTCTTATTTCCAATTAACAATCAAAAAATTGGAAGAGAGCTAGGCACTGGTGGTGGTTCATTCCTGTAATCCTAGATACTCAGGAAGCTGAGATCTAAGGATTGCAGTATAAAGCCAGCCCAGACAGGGAAGTCCATGAGACTCTTACCTCCAATTAACTACCAGAAAACGGGAAGTGGCACTGTTGCTCAAAGTGGTGGAGTGTGTGCTAGCTTTGAGCAAAAAAGCTCAGGGAGGCTGGGCACCAGTGGCTCATGCCTGTAATCCTAGCTACTCAGGAGGCTGTGATCTGAGAACGGCAATTCAAAGCCAGCCCAGGCAGGAAAGTCAGTGAGACTCTTATCTCCAATGAACCACCAGAAAACTGGAAGTGGTGCTGTGGTTCAAGTGGGAGAGCACTTGCCTTGAGCTGAAATGCTCAGGGACAGCATTCAGGCCGAGTTCAAGCCCAATGATGAGAACCACCACCACCACCAACAACAACAAAAAGTGCTGATCGTGAAGGAGCAGAAGAACTGCATTTACTACAAAGTCACATTTTCCCTGTCTCTGTTGGTCTCTCTCTCCTTCCTTCTTTCCTTCTCTCCTTCTGTTCCTTCTTTCCTTCTTCCTCCTGGTATCAGGCTTTGAACTCAGGGTCTCACTCACTTGACTGGCTTTCTTGTGTTCTATCACTTGAGTCATGCCTCTGGTCTGGTATTTTGCTAAATGGAGATGGAGTCATGAGGCAGACTTTTCTCAGCCTGGGCTGGCTTTGAACTGTCATCTTCTGGATCTCCACTTCCTCTGTAGCTAGGATTCAGGCATGAGCCACAGATACCTAGTAGGGTTTCTTGATATTAAGTACTAGATAGCTTGATACATGGTACTCAGAATATCCACTCAAGATCTAACTGCACCTTATTGGGCAGGACTCCTCCTCCTCTTACAAGTGACGCTGGCATGACCTCAGACAGAGCATGACTGCCCCAGGCACCGGGATGCCACAGTACCCTCTTTCTTCCTCTAATCAGCAATAGTCACACTCACAATCATCTTCAGTTTGTGCCTCTCAACAGAAATATGCTAAGCCTTTTCACTCCGTGAGAGGAGATATGCAGGAAGAAACAGGCACACCACTCATCTGCAGCTGGGTAGATGAGCTAGGTTACCACCAGCATTGACCAATGGATGGTTCTAGAAATACTCAAATCACTTCATGTTAGTTTTTCTCATCTCTTTTATGGAAGGATCTCCACAAAAATGTAATTTCAAGCCAAGCACTGATGGCGCATACCTGTAAGTCCTAGCTACTCGGGAGGCAGAGATAGAAGGATCAGGATTAGAAGCCAGCCTGGGCAAGAAAGTCTGTGAGACTCTTAATTGCCAAACAACCACCAAAAAAAAGCCAAAAGTAGAGTTGTGGCTCAAGTGGTAGAGTGCTAGCCTTGAGCTAAAAAGCTCAGGGACCGCGGCCAGGCCCTGAGTTCAAGCCCCAGGACATACATGCATGCATATGTATGCACACACACCCACACCCACACACACACACACACCATAATTTCAGGAAGTGAAGGTGTGGCACAAATGGTAGAGCAACAGCCTTAAGTGAAATAAGCCAAGGGAGAAAGCACAGACATTGAGTTCAGGTGCCAGTACTGGCACATGCGTGTATGTACACACACACACACACACACACACACACACACAAGAAATTTCTGTCTAATTCTCAAACTCTGTCTTCTGCAGTCCCTTCAGAGAGATGCAATGGGTTCTGAGCGTGTTATCCCTCCAGGTACAGCAAAATCTTTATGCAACTTGCAGAGCTGGTCTTTTATTTTGGGGGGTATACTGAGGATAGAAACCAGGGAGGCCTTGTGCATACTAGCACCGTCATGGGGCTTGAACACAGGGGCTGGGTGCTGTCCCTTAACTTTTTCACTCCAGGACTTCTGTTTTGTTTTGTTTTACATGACTAATTGGAGATAAGAGCCTCATGGCCTTTCTTGCCTAGTCTGGCTTTGAACTGCAACCCTCAAATCTCAGATCTCAGGAGTGAGCCACTAGCATCTGGCTGCCACATTTATTTTATCAGCCCTGCTTTCTACATACTTTTTTCTGAGCCATGTAAAAATTATATCAGCCATGAGGGTCTTTTGCTTCTAAATTTGTGTTGAGGACAGGAGACTCTTTACAAAGTATAATATAGGAATCGGGTGTGGTAGTGCATTCTGTAATCCCAGCTACTCAAAGACCAAGACAGAAGGATTAAAATTAGAGGCCAAACTGAAGAAGTCAGTGGGAACCCTATTTGATAAACTAAAAGCAAAAGGAACAAGGTGCCAATGGCTATGCCTATAATCTAGCTACTCAAGAGGCTGAGAACTGAAGAGCTTGGCTCAAGGTAGCTTGGGCAGGAAAGTCCATGAGATTCTTACTTCCAATTAACCACAAAAAAAGCTGGATGTGGAGCTGTGACTCAAATGGTAGAGCGCTAGCCTGGAGTGTAAAAGCTAAGGGACCAGGTCCAGGCCCTAAACTCATTTGCCCAGTACTGGTACACACACACAAAAAAAGCAAAAACACTAGGAGTATGACTCCAGTGGTAGAACATTTGCCTAGCAAGCAGGAAGCCCCAAGACTAAATTCCGGTGCCACATACACACAAATCACTAATACAACAGCCTACAAACTTTAAAAGATTATAATTTTTTCCATAATGCCCTTCAATGGCAAAATAAATAAACAAATGAAGTCCGGTGTAGGAGCCCCTTCAGGATCATCCCCCGGCCTTGGCCTGTCACATCCTTCAGGAACGCTGCTCTCAGTCTAAACAAAGGATCCATTAACCTGCCCCCTCCCCTCTCTCTTTTGTTGGTCATAGGGGCTGAACTCTGGGCCTGGGCACTGTCCCTCAGCTCTTCAGCTCAAGGCTAGTGCTCTACCATTTGAGCCACAGCACCACTTCAGGCTTTTTTCTACTTATGTGGTGCTGAGGAATCAAACCCAAGGCCTCATGCATGCAACATAAGCGCTTTACCACTGAGCCACCTTCCCAGTCCTGTCTCTTTTTTTAACAGCCAAAAAATTCAAACCACACCCAGCCTGCCCATTCAGAACATTTTATTTGTTGAGTCTTACATCTGACAGGACAACTGCCCTCGCATCTGGCAAATGCTGCAGCTCTGAGTTATGCAAAAAGATATTTACCTGACAAATATCTCGGGGTTTTTTTTAGTAGTGGGGCTTGAACTCTGGGCCTGAGCACTGTCCCTATGCTTCTTTTGCTTATGGTTAGCACTCTATCACTGAGGCCACAGCTCCACCTCCAGCTTTTTTCTGTTATTTATTGGAGATAAGAGTGTCTGTCATAGACTTTCCTATCCTGGCTGGCTTCGAACCTTGATCTTCAGATCTCTGCCTCCTGAGTAGCCAGGGTTATAAGCGTGAGCCACCAGTGCCCACCCCTGACAAATATCTTAAGAGCAGGGCTCAGCTCACAGACCATTAATACCAGTCAGTGGCTGACTTCAAAGTTTGCTAAGGCTACAACATGGCCCTGAGAATCCTGCCAAGATGGGAGACGGGGAAAACTGAGTAGTAGGGAAAGGGGGCGACAGAACATGGGAGGAGAGAAGAGAATGGACAGGAAAGGAGCGGAGGGCAGGGAAGGGCTAGAGAGGGGAGGGGAGAGAAGAAGAAGGAAGGGGATGGAAGGGAGGGGAAGGGAACACTCAGGAGTACTTGGGAGGAGAGCACATGGAGGGGGGGGATGGAAAGGCAGGACATGGGAGAGGAAAGCAAAGAGGAGAAGGCGGGGGGGCGGGGAGGGTGGAGGTGGAGGGGACAGTGAAGCCTGCCTGGGACTGCTCAGCCCCTTCTTCATCCTGTCTAGACAGCCCAGCCACTGAGGGAAGATACACCAGAGTCCAGGCTAGCCGCACCTGTGTGGACATCAAGACACACTGGAAACTCCCCTCCTACAGGTAGAAGACATAAGAGAACCTTCTGCAAATAAGGGGTACAATGACTCCATTTTACTTGTTGATTGATGCTGCAGTTTAGATCTTAAATATCCCCCAAAAGTTCATGATGCTATTTGTAGGCAGAGGAAGCTTTAAGATACGGGCCTAAGCTGGGCACTGGTGGTTCACCCCTGTACGCCTAGCTACTCAGGAAGCTGAGTTTGAGGATCAAGGTTCCAAGCCAGCCAAGAGGCTTCTCTTCAAAGGATTCCAAGTAGGGCTGTGGTTCAAGTGGTAGAGCATCAGTCTTGAGTGAAAAAGCTAGGGGCAGCAATCAGGCCCGGAGTTCAAGCCCCAGGATAGTCACAATCTCATACACACACACACACACACATGTGGGGTCTAGTGAAAGGTGTTAGGTTACTGGAGGCACCGTCTCTGAAGAGGATCATGGGAGCCTGGTCTCCACCTCCTCTTTCACTCCCAAGCTAAACATATCCTGAATCAAAAAGCTACAGCACAATTATGGACTGAAACCTTTAAAACGGTGTGAGCCACACAAAGGGAAGCCAGGAGGAGGAACAGAATAAGTGGGAACAGCCTACACTAAGCAGAAGGAAAGAAATGTAAACATCACCTGATGTGGAAAAAAATGACTTGTATTGTCAAAGCTCATGGAGTTCACAAACTGTATGGACCATGATGGTGACAGTTTGCCTTGTGAGGGTTGGAATGTGTTTGTGACTTTAAGTATCACTATTCCACAATACTGTGAAGTATGTGAAATTTATACAATCACTTAATCTCAATATAAAAGAAAAGTGAGAGAAGGGATGGGTTAGGAGCAACGGGTGACAATGTTGTCAGACACCTTGTATTCATATACTGTTTTGTAGAATGGGAACTTCTTTGTACAACTACTTAAAGATATAATAATAAAAAAAAAAACTGTGTGAGCCAAAAATGAATCTTCCCTCTTTTTAAGTGGATTGTCTCAGATATTTTGTTACAGTAAAGATGAGCGCACTTGATAAAAAAAAATCTGAGCGATCGCACTGAATCTACTCATGTCACTTAAAACAATAGCTGCTGCCCACAGTGACCAAGTGTAAGCTGCATTTTCTTTTTCTTTGTTTGTTTCTTTTTTTTTTTTTTTGGTTGGTCATGGGGCTTGAACTCAGGGCCTGGGTACTGACCCTGAGCTTTTTCATTCAAGGCTAGTGCTCTACCACTTTGAGTTGCAGAGCCACTTCTGGGTTTCTGGTGGTTATGGAGATAAGATTCTCAGAGACTTTCCTGTCCAGGCTGGCTTTGGACCACAATCCTCAGATCTCAGCTCCTGAGTATCTAGAATTACAGATATGAACCATTAGTGCACAGATATAAGCTGCATTTTCTAGTTACTATACAAACACTGACCTGCTCCAAAATCCACTGTGGCGTAGAGGCCCTGTAGGGTACCACACTGCAGGAAATTTTCATTTGCTCCATCAGTGGTGAACAGAAGCACATCTTTACCCAAGTAGTAGAGGAAGCGGTTTCGCAGGAAACGCAAATAGTCATAATCACAGGCAAAGTAGGAGCCATATTCATTTTCAACCTGCAAATTTAAAAAGGGAAGAGGGAAATCAGTAAGTCTCATGTAGACATTCTAATAAAAGCTTTTCTTTTTATTTCCCCCCAATACTGAACTTGAATTCATGCCTGGATGCTGGTCCTTAGCTTTTTCATTCAAGGATGGTACTCTACCACTTGACTCACCACTCCATTTCCAGCTTTTTGCTGGTTAACTGGAGATGAGAGTCTCATGGCTTCAAACGGAGATTCTCAGATCAAGGCCTCCTGAATAGCTAGGATTATAGGTTCAAGCCACTGGTACCTGGCCTGATGCAAACTTTTTGGGAAACATTCCTGACACTTGCTGAAATGACAAGACCTCATGATCCCCAGGAAGCCAGGAGAGTCTCTGCTGAGACATCAAAACTTTTTTTTTTTTTTTGGTTGGTTGTGAGGCTTGAACTCAGGGCCTGGGAGCTGTCCTTGAGCTCTTCAGCTCAAGGCAAGCACTCTACCACTTGAGCCACAGCTCTACTTCCAGTTTTATGGTAGTTAGTTAGAGATAAGAGTCTCACGGACTTTCCTGCCCTGGCTGGCTTTGAACCATGATCCTCAGATCTCAGCCTCCTGAATAGCTAGGAATACAGGTGTCAGCCACTGGCATCTGGCCAAAACTCATTTTTTTCCAGAAAAGCAATTCAGCATGGAAATTGACCCTCCATGAATCCTTCCTACTGACAGACAAGTGAACCACCAAATTAGCTTTAGATTATAATGATATTCTCTTCAGTAATAACAGATACTTTGATCTTACATAGATAACACCTTTCCATGGTATATAGAAAAGAAAATGTTAGAAAAAAAATCATCAGGAGCTGGGAAGGTGGCTCAGTGGTAGAGTGCTTGCCTTGCATGCATGAGGTCCTGGGTTCGATTCCTCAGCACCACATAAGCAGAAAAAGCTAGAAGTGGCGCTATGGCTCCAGTGGTACAGCGCTAGTCTTGAGCTGAAGAGGTAAGGGACAGTGCCCAGGCCCAGAGTTCAGGCCCTATGACCAGCCAAAAACAAAAAACAAACAAACAAACAAAAATCATCAGCCAGGTGTTGATGGCTTATGGGTGTAATCCTAGCTACTCAGGAGTCTGAGATCTGAGGATCAAGGTTCAAAGCCAGCTGGGGCAGGAAAGTCTATAAGACTCTTATCACCAATAAACCACCAGAAAACTGGAACTGGCACTGTGGTTCAAGTGGTAGGGCACTAGCCTTGAGCTGAAGAGCTGAGAGACAGCTCCTAGGCCCAGAGTTCAAGCCCCATAACTGACAAAAAATAAATAAAATTTAAATTAAAAAAAAAAATCAACCAGGTGCTGATGGCTCACACCTGTAATCCTAGCTACTCAGGAGGCTGAAATATGAGGATCATAGTCCAAAGCCAGCAGGCAGGAAAGTCCGTGAGACTTTTATCTCCAATTAACCACCAGAAAACTAGAGGTGGTTACTTGTGGGTCAAAGTGGTAGAACACTAGCCTTGAGCAAAAAAAGTTCAGGGACATTGCCCAGGCCCTGAGTTCAAGCCCCACAACTGTAAAAAATAAAATAAAATCACCCACTAATTCCATTTGTAAGAAAAGTGACTTACTTATGAAAGTAATTAGCTTTCTGTTAATCTTGAGAGAGAACTGTTTTTCTGAAAGGTCCCTGTTTTGGCTTGGCCCTTACTAGTTGTATTTTAGTTACATACATCCTTTTCCTGCTGTACTTTTTTTTTGGGGGGGGGGGTTCTTTTTTATTTATTTATTTATTTTTGGGTCTGGTTGTGGGGCCTGAACTCTGGGCCTGGGTGCTGTCCCTCAGCTCTTCAGCTCAAGGCTAGTGCTCTACCACTTGAGCCACAGTGCCACTTCCAGCTTTTTTCTTTTTGCTTATGTGGTGCTGAGGAGTCGAACTCAGGGCCTCATGCAAGCAAGGCAAGCGCTCTACCACTGAGCCACCTTCCCAGCCCCCCTGCTGTACTTTAAATAGGACACTCTGTTAGAAGCTCCTTGAATTTTACTTACATACTGTTAATTAAGCCACATCCTTTTGTAGATTGTGAGCAGAGGGGCGTGGCCTGCCGTGTTAGGGATAAAAAGGGAGCAGCCTGCCTGCTCTGTGTGCTCACTTGCCAGGTTTTTGGCTAATGGCCATAGCTCTGAAAAAGTAAACTTTGCCTTAATGAGTTCCAAATTAGTCTCTATTCCTGTGTGTCACTTCATCTCAAGCTATTTCTAACGGATAACCATTGTAAGCATTTTAGTAGATAGCCCTCCAAGTTTACATAATATACATAGCATCTTCTTTCCTCAAAATGGTGTATATTTATACCAGTTATAATAACACTGCGTTCTTTACCTATTACTCAAATTATCCAAGGTAGGTAGTAAGGAGGGCAAATGCAAGATATAAATGCACCATGATTTGACTTATCTTCAGCTGTCAAAGACCTAGGGTATTTCTGACTTTGTTCTCCATAATCAACACCTGGCTTGAGCTTAATAACATCAGGATTTAAACCAGCTCTCCTCCATCCTTCTGATAGGGGACATCCTGCAATGTCCAGAAACATTTGGGTCCTCACTACAGTTGGAGGGAATGGTGCTAATGGCACAAAGTGGATTGAGGCCAGGGACACTGCTAAATATCATTCAGTGCACTGAGTGAATACCGAGAGCATGAACTCAAGACCTCATGTTCTTGCTTGGCTTTCTTGCTCATGGCTGGTGCTCTACTAGTTGAACCATGCCTCTAATCTGGCTTTTTGCTGGTTAATTGGAGGTAAGTCCCTCAGACTTTTCTGCCTGGGTTGGCTTCATACTGAGATGCTTAGATCTCAGCCTTCTGAGTAGCTAGATCTATAGATATGAGCCACCAGTTTCTGGCATCTATTTTCTTTATATATAAAACACAGGTATGTGTTTATATACAAGATAATTTGGGTATATATACATAAACAGTCTTACACTATCCCAGATATCACATTTCCATGAGAGAATGGAAGGAAAAGCAATAAGAAAATAAAACCTAAGAAAGTTTCTTAGGGAGAAAAGGAAAAATTCAGTAAAAGAAACATTGCTCTTTAATAACATGAACTTCCAGATTTACCCACTACTACTACTACAACAAAGAACCTTAGAAGTATAATGTATGAAAGAAATGTGCTACTGAAAAATACACCATCCAATACTCAGTGGAAACCTCAAAAACACTTGAGATTAGACTATAAACTATTTTCACCAAAGCCAGGATAGGGGAACAAAATGAAGTATGATCAAAGACACTTGGGAACCTTTTAGGATGCTATTTCTTTTCCTGAGGTGGTGTTATGTGGTTCCTTATGTTACGACAATTCATTAGAGTGCACATTTATGTAATTGTGCTGTATTTCATAACTTCATATAAGTTTTTTTTTTTGTCTAAGAATAAAATTTCAACCTGCAGGCTGGGTGCAGTGGCTCACACCAGAAATCCCAACTACTCTGAGGGCACACATCAGGAGAACTGAGGTTTAAAGCTAGCCTGTAGGGCTGGGAAGGTGGCTCAGCGGTAGATCGCTTGCCTTACATGCCTGAGGCCCTGGGTTCGATTCCTCAGCACTACATAAGCAGAAAAAAAAACCACTAGTGGCGCTGTGGCTCAAGTGGTAGAATGCTAGCCTTGAGCTGAAGAGCTGAGGGACAGCGCCCAGGCCCAGAGTTCAGGCCCCATGACCGGACCCTTCCCCCCCCCCCGAAAAAAAAGCTAGCCTGTAGAAAAGGTTAGAAAAAGCTGGATGTGGGTGTGGGTGGTCTGAACCTTTCACCCAAGAGTAGGCATAAATAGGAGGGTTGTAGTCTGGGCCAACCCAGGAAAATATGCAAGACCCTAATGGAAAAACTGTAAGTAAAAAGGGTTGGAGAGTCAGGCACTGGTGGCTCATGCCTATAATCCTAGCTCCTCAAGAGGCAGAGATCTGAGGATCATGATTCAAAGCCAGCCCAGGCAGGAAAGTCCATGACACTCTTATCCCCAATTAACCACCAAAAAACTGAAAGTAGAACTATGGCTCAAAGTGGTAAAGCAGAAAAGCCCAGGGACCGTGCCCAGGCCCTGAGTCCAAGCCCATGACCAGCCAAAAACTAAAAAATAAAAAGGAGGTATTTGATATATGCAGAGTAGAAAACTCTACCTTGGGTAATTTTTGCTGACACCCTTGTCTCACAAAAGTTCCTTTGAAACCATTGAGATGCATGTTAAGAAAAGCTTTGCAAATTCTGGTAAGGTTCTTTTTTCCCTCCTTTTCTCCACGCCTCCTCTCCCTTTTAAGAGCTACATAAATGACTATGCTGTCCTCTATCATTTGACTGCCAAGAAATTCAGAGCTAAATTTGAGGGTCAATTCTAGCAACTAAGTGAGCCAGAGCCTCTATACCTATGTCCTTTTCTGCCACCAGCCTTGGTTTCCTTCCCATAACCCTACCTGGTCATTATATTTATCTATTATCAACCAAACACAAAGTGGCTTGTAATGAATACATGGACATTTATTTATTATAAGGAGAGGAGAAAGGGGAGGGGAGAAAGGAGGAGAGAGAGAAGGGAGGAGGGAGAGAGGGAGAGAAGGAGAGAGGGGGTAAGAGAAAAAAAAGAGAAAAGGAGGGGGGGGGAGAGAAACATTTACAAAACAAAGCCCAGCAGCACACCTGTAATCCTAGCTACTCAAGAGGCTGAGATATGAGGACCACAGTTTGGAGCCAGCCTGGGCAGAAAGTCTTATCTCTAATTAACTATTAAAAAATGCCAGAAGTTAGCCGGGCGCTGGTGGCTCATGCCTGTAATCCTAGCTACTCAGGAGGCTGAGATCTGAGGATCGAGGTTCAAAGCCAGCCCGGGCAAGAGAGACCGTGAGACTCCTATCTCCAATAAACCACCAGAAAACCGGAAGTGGCGCTATAGCTCAAGTGGTAGAGCGCTCACCTTGAGCTGAAGAGCTGAGGGACAGCGCCCAGGCCCAGAGTTCAAGCCCCACGACCGACAAAAAAAAAAAAAAAAATGCCAGAAGTGGAGAGCTGAGGCTCAAGTGGCAGAGCAGCCTTGAGCAAGAAAACCTCAGGGCCGTCCATTAGAAAGAGTAATATTTTTGTCATTTGTGGGGAAACAGATGGACCTAGAACAAATCATGTTGAGTGGGTTAAGCCAAACTCAAAGAGATGAGCAGCACACATGTGATAACCTAAACATGACCGCAGGCATTTACATACAGAGGATACCGGTAGGGGAGGAACCCAAAGGTTCCTGAACATATAAAATATTATCTATTGAAACAAATTCTGGGAAACAGAAACATGGGTGGGTTGGGTTTTTTTTTTTTTCTGCTTCTTATGAGGGGAGCAAAGGGAAAGCGGTTACAGAAAAGGGAGGAAGAATAGTGAACAAATGCAATCAAGATATTCATTACACACCAAGTAGAAACTGCATCTTGTGGGCAGGGACAGGAGGGAGACCCTGGTGGAAAGTGAAGGAAGGGGTGATAGTGTCCGAAAGAGAAATACCTGAATTGTGAAATGGTAATCCCTCTGTACAACACCTTAATAATAACCATAAAATTATATTTTAAAGAAATCCTCAGGACCAATGTCCAGGGCCCAAGTTCAAGCTCCAGGACTGGCACCAAAAAACAAAAACAACAACAACAAAAAAAACAGCTTAAAGTCATGGTCATAGCATCAGAGGTCTCTATTGGCTGCATGCAAATCTGAGCTCTGCCACTTCCTGTCCATGGGACTCCACCTGTACAAGCGTTTCTCATCTGGAGAGGTTGTAACACCTACTTTGCTGAGTTGTTATGAGGTTTAACTGAGTCAATTCAGGAAAAGACCTTTGTATAGTACCTAGCCTCTGCTTAGTCCTCAAAAAGCTAGCAAAGCAATGACGACCAAACTCAAGTTTTACATCACTGCCAATTAGTAAAAAAAATAGAGCTGTGTAAATGTTAGGGCTGAGAGTGGGAAAAATGAACACAAACAGAAAAAGGCAAGACTCATAGAAAAGTCACAATGAGATTCAGAAGAACACCCATTTTTCTAGTGTTTAACAAACTTTTTCAATGAAGAACCAGGAAGTGCGGCGTCAGTGGCTCACATCTGTAATACTAGCTACTCAGGAGGCTGAGATGTGAAGATCGTGGTTTGAAGCTAGCCTGGGCAAGATAATCTGTGAGATTCCTATCTCCAATTAACCACCAAAAAGGCAAAAGTGGTAGAGTGCTATCCTTGAGTGAAAAAACTAAGGGACAGTGCCCAAGCCCAGAGTTCAAACCCCACAACAGACAAAAAAAAAAAAAAAGGAGAGAGAGAGAAAGAGATCCTGAGATCTTCGGAAATAGCATGAAATCCTGACTGCCACATGACAACTGGTGGGCTTGGCCAAATCACTTCATCTTGAATTCCTCCAATAGCAGTTTTCAGCATCCAGGACAGAGCTGGATATCATTAAATAAGTATACTATAAGAACTAGAGCTGGGTGCCAGTGGTTCATGCCTATAATCTTAGGAGGCTGAGATCTGAGGATTGAAGTTCAAAGCCAGCCTGGGCAGGAACATTTGTGAGACTCTTATCTCCAGTTAACCACCAGAAAACCGGAAGTGGTACTGTGGTTCAAGTGGTAGAGCACTAGCCTTGAGCTAATTGCTCAGGGACAGGGCCCAGACCCAGAGTTCAAGCCCCACAACCGACAAGAAAAGAAAAAAGAACTAGACATCGCAGTGAACTCCTGCAGTCCCAGCTGCTCAGGATCCTCCTGTTGAGGCAGATAGAGCTCAAACTCAGGAGCTAAGGGCCAAGTGGGCAATACAGTAAGACACAAACTCTGAGTATGTGTGTGTTGGTCCTGGGTCTTGAACTCAGGGCCTAGGTGCTGTTCCTGCAAATTGGAGCTCAAAGCTCCAATGGATTTTCCTGCCCAGGCAGGCTTCAAATTGTGAACCTCAGATCTCAGCCTCAGCAACACAGGAGGTATTACAATACCAGACTTCAAATTATACTATAGAGCCATAATAACAAAAAGAATGTGGTACTGGCACAAAAACAAATATGAAGATTAAAGGAACAGAAGACCCAGAAATAAAAACGCACAGCTTCAGCCACCTAATTTTTAATAAAGGAGCCAAAAACATACACTGGAGAAAAGACACCCTCTTTAACAAATGGTGCTGGCAAAACTGTTTATCTACATGCAGGAGATTGAAACTAGAACCTTATCTCTTACCCTGTACAAAAATCAACTCCAAATGGATCAAATATCTAAATGTAACATCTGAAACTCTGAAATTACTACAGGAAAATTCTGGATCAAATAAGCACAGGTAATTATTTTCTGAATATTAAGACTCTACTTGCCCAGAAAATGAAATCAAGAATGAACAAAATGAACTGCGTCAAATTAAAATGCTTCTGCACAGCAAAAGAAATAATTATCCAAGCCAAGAAACAATCCACAGAGTGAAAGAGTGTCTTTGCCAGCTATTCATTTGATAAAGGAATTTAGCCTGGCGTCAATGGCTCACACCTGTATTCCTAGCTATTCAGGAGGCTGAGATCTGAGGATCGCAGTTCAAAGCCAGCCCAGGCAGGAAAGTCTGTGAGGTTCTTATCTCTAATTAACCACCAGAAAACGAGAAGTGGCGCTGTGGCTTAAGTGGTAGAGCACTTTGCCTTGAGCTGAAGAATTCAGGGACAGTACCCAGGCCTAGAGTTTAAGCCCCACAATCAAAAACAACACCCCTTCCCCCAAAAAAACAAGAAAATGTCATTAAAAGCTGTTAAACAATAGGAAGTGGCAGAATGGGAGAGAGAAAGAAATCGAGAGGATTATTCTGATTAAGATATAATATACGTACACGAGAAAATTCTTGGTACAATTAGTATATACTAGAAAAAAGAATGATAAGAGAGGAAAACCAGCTCTGCTGAGGGAAGGGAATCAGCTTCTGAAGCATGAAGGGCGAATGAAGAGAGTAAAGAGGACAAACACTGTCAGAATAGTTTAGTTGTGCATATGAGAATAAAATGATGAAACCAGCTGAAATTACTTTAAGAGGAGTGAGAGATAGAGGAGAGTGACAGAAAGGGTGCAGGTGGTAGTTCTCTTGTATGCGTTTATGGAAATGTCATACTGAACCCCCTTTTATTAAAAAAATTAAAATATGATATATTAAAGTATTTAAGTAAAAGCATCATCCATAGCATCTCCTCTTCAAGTAACAGATTGACTCGGTGTGTGTCCACATCTATCATGTACACAGTATAGAGGGATGGAAACCCACCCCTTAGCTCAGTTCCACATTTACCTGCACTGTTATAATCGGTCCTCCATTCTGATAGAGAAGAGGCCTCATCTTAGGCAGAAGGACTCCCAACCACTTATCCACAGCTTTGAGGTAATCTAGAAAACAAGATTGGTGTGATGCCTTAATATACTTTCAGAACCAAGAGTTCACCTGCAGCTGGGTGCTAATGGCTCACACCTGTAATCCTAGCTACTCAGGAGCCTGAGATCTGAGAAAACTGGAAGCTGGAGCTATGGTTCAAAGTGGTAGAGCAATTAGCCTTGAACAAAAAAATCTCAGGGACAATGTCTAGGCCCAGTTCAAGCCCCAAACTGACTTAAAAAAAAAAAAAAGTTCACTGCAGACTCCCACACGGATTGGCAGTGAGGACCAGGTTATACCAGACATTCAACAACTACTTTCTAAAATGGGGCATGTACTGGACCAAGAAAAATATCAGCAATATTGTTCTGCAAGATAGTAGTTCAGTTGATCTCCTCAGTGGACAAGGCCTACTATGCCTGTCCTTGCCCTAGGACAAAGCCAGGAGCACAGGCAATGGTTGCTAACCAAAGAGAAGACAAACTGAATGCTATGTTCTCCTCTCTGTTATTTCTAAGATTAAGTTCCAGTTGCCATGAGAGATCAAGGCTATAATATTTACTACTTGGAGAAGAGGAAATGAGAGGAGCAAGATTTGAGGCCAGTCCAGGCACGAGACTCCCTTTCTCAATCAGTGGCTTTGCAACCAGTACATTGGCACAGACCCATCATTTCAGCTATAGGGGAAGCACAATGGTTAGGAAACAGGTAGCACGTGCCTGTCTTCCCAGCCACATAGTAAGCACAAATAAAATTATTGCAATCTAGGCTGGCCCTGGCACAAAGTAAGACTCTACCTCAAAAATAACATGGCTCATACCTGTAATCCTACTCAAGAGGCTGAGATCTAAGGATCACTATTCAAAGCCAGCCCAGACAACAAAGTCCTTGAAACTCTTACCTCCAATAAACTACAAAAAGTCAGAAGTGGAGCTGTGGCTCCAGAGCACTAGCTTTGAGCCTCCCATTCCCCCCTTCCTCAAAAAAACACCCTTAGGGACAGTGCTGTACTAAATTACATATTTGTACTAACAAAAGGGAATAAGAACTGTATGTTTTATAAAGATATCATGAGGACTACAGAGGTAATACATTTGAGAGCACTAGTATAGTAATATACTAAGATACAAACCAGAAAGGTGAAACAATAAAATACTTATAGTATAAATGAACTAACTGGGGCTGGGAAGGTGGCTCAGTGGTAGAGTGCTTGCCTTGCATGCCTGAGGCCCTGGGTTCCATTCCTCAGCACCACATAAGCAAAAAGAAAAAAGCTGGAAGTGGCGCTGTGGCTCAAGTGGTAGAGTGCTAGCCTTGAGCTGAAGAGCTGAGGGACAGCGCCCAGGCCCAGAGTTCAGGCCCCACGACCGGACCCCCCACCAAAAATTTAATTAATTAATTTAAAAAAATGAACTAATATTCCATAGAATAAACTTCATATCACCCACTATTACAATAATCTCCACCATCCCCAAGACAAATGGAGTCTTCAGGAAACAGCAATTCAGTGAAATAGGAATTTCTGACTGTTCAGGGTTTAGAGCTAAAATAATCTCTCACTATTTTTTTTTTTTTTTGCCAGTCATGGGGCCTGAGCTCTGGGCCTGGGCGCTATCCCTCAGCTCTTCAGCTCAAGACTAGCACTCTACCACTTGAGCCACAGCGTCACTTCTGGCTTTTTCTGCCTATGTGGTGCTGTGGATCAAACCCAGAGCCTCATGCATGCAAGGCAAGCACTTACCCCTGAGCCACCTTCAAAGCCCCTCTCTATTTAAAAAGATAAGAAAGGGGCTGGGACGGTGGCTCAGTGGTAGAGTGCTTGCTTTGCATGCCTGAGGCCCTGGGTTGGATTCCTCAGCACCACATAAGCAAAAAGAAAAAAGCCAGAAGTGGCGCTGTGGCTCAAGTGGTAGAGCGCTAGCCTTGAGCTGAAGAGCTGAGGGATAGCGCCCAGCCCCAGAGTTCAGGCCCCACAACTGGACCCCCCCCCCAAAAAAAAAAAAAGATAAGAAAAACCAAGTGCCAGTGGCTAATGCTTCTTCTGAACTGGCCCTGGCTGAGCCTGGTTCAAAGCCAGCATAGGCAGATAAATCCAAGACTTTTCTACAATTAATCAGCAAAAAGCCAGAAGTAGAGACTTGACTCAAGTGATAAGAGTTTCAGCCTTAGCTGGGTGCCCGTGGCTCACGCCTGTAATCCTAGCTACTCAGGAGGCCGAGATCTGAGGATTGAGGTTCAAAGCCAACACAGGCAGGAAAGTCCATAAGACTCTTATCTCCAATTAACCACCAGAAAACAGGAAGTGGTAGAACACTGGCCTTGAGCTGAAGAGCTCAGGGACAGTGACCAGACCCAGAGTTCAAGCCCCACAACCAACCCCCCCCAAAAAAAAAAGTGCCAACCTTGAGTGAAAAAGCTAAGCAAGAGGGCTGGAAATGTGGCTTAGTGGTAGAGTGCTTGCCTAGCATGCACGAAGCCCTGGGTTCCTTAGTACCACATAAACAGAAAAATCCCAAAATGGCACTGTGGTTCAAGTGGTAGAGTGCTAGCCTTGAGCAGGAAATCTCAGGGACAGCACCCAGGCCCTGAGTTCAAGCCCCATGACTGACCAAAAAACCACTAAGCAAGAGTACCAGGCCCTGAGTTCAAGCCCCAGTACTGGCATGCATGCATGAATGAATGGTTGAATGAATAAATAGGTAAGAATGTCTTATAAATGTCATCCAACTGTCACTCTATATAAGTAGACACTACAGCTACCAAGAAATCTAGTTATATCTAGAAAGTACATATGGCATTTTGATTATCAAAGTATCACAGGCTGTGTCATACATTGAATATGTAAAAAGAGAAAGAGCATCATTAGTGGGCCAACCACAGAGTTCAATGCCAATTCAAAGTGTTACCAGGCTATCTGTAAGATCTGGCCAAGGGGTGCAAGGAAGCCAATCTCCTACATCTTCAATGTCTGGTGTGGTGTGGTGAAGGGTATTTCACACTCACTCTGCCAAGCTCTTAGAAGTACTTGTATAGTAGCTCAGCTTTCAAATGATCTGGCTCCTTCTATTAAACTGTCTAATTATTTCATAAATTCTGAGGATCTCTCTGACTTACCTGGGTCAGAAGAGCGGAGAATAATAGATTCCTTCTCTAATAGCCAAGCAGGCAATCCCCCCTATGAAGAGAGAAAAGGGATGAAAGCTATTATCATGTCATGTTGGTGAAAGGAGCTTAAAGAAGATTGAAATTACTGTTAGCAGTGTATGCTTCAGAGAAAAGACATTTCAGCTGTCTGGTTTGTAACTTTTGGGAAATTGGAACATAGTAAAACTAAGATCCCAGTTGTTAATTTAGAGATTCAATGCTATTTTATGTAGATGACTCCAGTTCATTTCACAGCCCTGTGTGAGAAAGAACAGACATCATTAGCTGCCGTGTGTATGTGTGTACACACACACACACACACACACACACACACACACACACACCAGTACTGGGGCTTGAACGCAGGGCTTTGAGCCCTGTCCCTTAGCTTTTTCACTCAAGTTGTTGGTACTCTACCACTTGAGCCACACCTGTATGTCTAGCTTTTTGCTAATTAACTGGTGAACTTTCCTGTATGGGTTGGCTTTGAATTGTGCTCCTCAGAGCTCAGAGTAGCTCCTGAGTAGCTAGGATTACAAGAGTGAGCCACTGGTACCCAGCAGCTTTTGACAGATAAGGAGACCAAGTGATGTGAGTGATCATAGAGAGGAGAACTCATGCTCTCACCTGAGCTGCTCCTCTCTGCCCAGCTCCTAATATATACCTGTGCTGCACAGTCACAGGCCTCACATTAGCTAGACATACAGTGTGTGTGTGTGTGTGTGTGTGTGTGTGTGTGTGTGTGCGTGTGTGTGTGCGTGTGTGTGTACATGTGCATGCATGCTGGAACTAGGACTTGAACCCCGGGACTGGGCACTCTCCCTTAGCTTTCTCTACTCAAGGCCTGTGCTTTACCACTTGAGGCATAGCTCTATTTCTGGATTTTTGCTGGCTAATATGGAGATAAGAGTCTCATGAACATTTCTGGCTTTGAACTGTGATCCTCAGTGCTCAGCCTGTTGAGTGGCTAGGATTACACATGTGAGCCACTGCACCTGGCTCTACAGTCTTATTTAGACTACTCTAGTTGACTTTGCCCAGGTGCCTGCCTGCCAGCCCGCCACACTCACCATGTCCCACTCCGCACAGATGTAGGGCCCCGGCCTCAGGATGACTAGCAGTTCCAGCTTGTGAGCTAGCTGAAGAAAATACTCCACATCATGATCTCCAGAAAACTGGTAGTGTCCTCGCTGGGGCTCATGAAAGTTCCAGGGCACATACCTGTGAAGACACACACAGCCTGTCTGCAGATAGTTGGCAGGGGTGAGAAAGAAGAAAGGGGAAGAGATCTTCTTAGGACAAAAGGGTGAAGAAGGGGAGGGCTTTGAGGAATATAACCCAGAACTTGGAAATAAGGTGAAAGACTGACTGTTTATTTCTTCTCAGTATTGTTCTGGAGATTACTCAAGATTATTACTAAGACTTCTTTTATTCTCTGGGGAAAATAATGTAACTAGTAAGTACTGATTAAGGCAAGTTATGGATTCATTTATACTTGTTATTACCTTATAAGGGTGTCAAATGGCTGCTGCTGTACAGAAAAGGCAATTCCAAAAGGAATATCAAATATCACCTTTGTGTGTGTGTGTGTGCGTGTGTGTGTGTGTGTTTTCTAGTACTAGGGATTGAATTTGGGGCCCTGATGCTTTCCCAGGCCCCAATCTGCTCCCTAGAGGTGTTTCCTTTCACTCCAGGCTGGTGCTGTCACTTGAGTCACAGCTCTACTTGTGGTTTCTTACTGGTTAATTGAAGAGTCTCTTGGATTTGTCTGCCTGGGCTGGCTTTGAACTCTGATCTTCAGACCTCAGCCTCCTGAGTAGCCCAGCAACCTCACCTTTTATAGTATTATATTTATCACTTTAATCTCCCAAGATAATTAATTTCAGCTCTACTTTCTTGGCTCAATCTATAAACATTTCTTCCTCAAGTTCTCCTTCAATTAGGCTTTACCATTAGCTAGTTGCCTCCATTATAAGTAAAACCATTTTTGTTTATTTGCAGTGCTGGGGATCAAAGCCAGGCCTTTTTTTTTTCCTCCCCTATATGTGTGGGTCCCAGTACTGCCTTTGTGGGTGTGTGTTCCAGTACTGGGGCTTGAATTTAAGCCTTGAGCTCACAGTGAATGCTATTATTTAAGCCACACTTTTGAGTTCCTCAAAACTAGGACTTGATTATGCTCTAATATTGAGCCACATTCGCAGCCCCCTATGACAACCATCTTTACAGAAACTGTGTGACAGAAAGGGGGAGAGGGAACAATGATAATTGTTTTGTTTAAACAATGTAAATATATCTTATCTGAAGTGGCACTGTAGCTCACGTGGTAGAGCACTAGTCTTGAGTAAAACAATAAGCTCATGGGGGGCTGGGAAGGTGGCTCAGTGGTAGAGTGCTTGCCTTGCATGCATGAGGCCCTGGGTTTGATTCTTCAGTACCACATAAGCAGAAAACATCAGAAGTGGTTCTGTGGCTCAAGTGGTAGAGTGCTAGCCTTGAGCTGAAGGACAGAGGGACAGCGCCCAGGCCCAGAGTTCAGGCCCCACACCGAAAAAAAAAAAAAAAAAAAAAAAAAGCTCATGGATAGCACCCAAGCCCTGAGTTCACCTGAGTTCAAGCTCCATGGTAAAAAAAAAAAAAAAAAAGATAAAAACTTCATAACTTGGAGCTGGCTCAGTGGTAGAGCGCTTGCCTTGCATGCATGAGGCCCTGGGTTCCATTCCTCAGCACCACATAAGTAGAAAAAGCCAGAAGTGGTGCTGTGGCTCAAGTGGTAGAGTGCTATCCTTGAGCTAAAGAGCTGAGGGACAGCGCCCAGGCCCAGAGTTCAGGCCCCATGACCGACAAAAAAAAAAACAACTTTACAACTTGCCTCACAAGTAGGAGGCCCTGAGGTCAACCCTTAGTACCACTAAAAATAAACTTTTACAAAAGTAGAAATAAACCAATGATCCCAGCACTTGGGAGTGGAGGCAGGAAACCTGCAAGTTTGAGGTCACCCTGAGCTCCATAGTAATATCCTGTCAATAAATGAACAAATCCCTCAACCCCTATACATACACAAATGATTTTGTCAGGAATTAGCATGGAGGAAGTAAAAACAGCCAACATTTCTGCCAATACTTCCAGCTATCTCAGGAAGCAAACACAAACATGGGGCCAGCCAGTTCTAGCATGAAAATCACTTTGATGACCTTGGCCTGAGTTTTTCCCCAGTGTCAGGATTTCAGGGCTCCCTCAAACCTACTAGAACTCATGTATAAACGACTTAAGGGGGAACTTGGGTTTGCCCCTCCCATAGCCTTAGAACCAGAAGAGCATTGAACCATCTGAGGTTGTTATACTTTTGATACCTGAATAGTTATTGGCCATCCATATCAGCTCTGCCAAAACCAACAAAATAGAGGAGACAAGGTGAGGATGACTGGGTTGACTTATAGCATGGGCATATATAGTCACCCCCAGCAAACCAAGAGTTATAAGAGCCAAGAGAAGCTATGGCTGCCTACAAACTCCCTTACACTCCAATCCTAGCTGGACCCTTGCCCAAAGATATGACCTTGGGGGAACTTGAATTTTACCAGCCTACCTTAGAGAAATGGGATGTAAGGAACATGGTACCTCAAAGTGCTGTCACTTGCCTTTATTGATTGATTGACTGATGGATTGATTATACTGAGGATTAAACTCTGGGCTTTGGGGCTTACTCTACTTGAGCCACTTGCCCAGCCTTTTAATGGATATTCAATAAGGTCTCCAGTTTTGATTGGGTAAGCCTCAAATGGCGATTCTACTACCTGCCTAGCTGGGATTACAAATAAGTACCACAAAGCCCAGCCCACTTTTACCTTCCCTCCCCCCAAATTTCTAACTTTCATGGGGCAAATTGTCTGTATCATGGTCTATAAAGTTTGTGAATTCTATGAGCTTTGACAATACAGCTATTCTTCCACATTGGGTGATATGGACATTTCTTTCCTTTTGCTTGGTGTCAGTTGGTCCCTCTTTCCCTCTCATTCCCTCCCTCCCATCACTGCCACTGAGTTGCTTAATTCCTTTTGATTAATGACCAGTGCAGCTGATGGGTCCCGCTGTTGTATGTTTTTCTCTGTTTCCCTCTGTTTCTGTGTCCTCCGCCTAGTTTCCACCTTTATCTTTTTAAGCTGGTATTTCATGATTTCTGGTGACAAAGCTCAAGACTGGAAAAAGTGGCAAATTATCTGAATGCAGGTCCAATCAAGTTCATACCAAACACCTCCCAGAAGGCCACTGGCGTCTACTTCCCCATTCCTGAGCAACGAAACAGCTGCTCTGAGAAATGCAGCTGTACTGTTTTCCAAGGCACGCAGTCCCCAGTGGGCACTGAGTGTCGTACTTACGTCTGGATGGCATTCAGCCCGGCCATCTTCATCTTCAGCAGCCGGTCCATCCAGTAGAAGCGAGGCACTCGGAAGTAGTGGATGCTTCCTGAGATGTAGCGGAATGGCTTGCCATCCTTGAGGAAGCAGTCCTGATCGTAGTCTACCTCAAATGTCCGGGAGGTATTCTACAAAGCAAGGATGGAGACAAATGAGAACTTCCATCTTTTTCAGAGTTGCAGGCAACGCCCTGCCTGCTCATTCCCATCATTAATGCATGGTTTTCTGGTCTATCAAACAAACTACTGCCAAGCTAAGTCAGGACCACCCTGTGTGAACTCAGGTAACTGAGTCACCAGGGCAATCCCAGTGCAGGATTCCATAGCTCTAAACCCTCAGAGAGTACTAGTCAAACAGGCTGAGACCACATTCCATTGTGCTGCTCATGGAGACTGGGAAGAAAACCACACACATCTGAGCACTTGGATGAGCTCAATATTAGTGTCAGTGGGATCACCAGAACCCATTCAGAAAATTCTAATACAGAGCAAAAAGAAATGGAATAAAAGCTCCATTCCTAGCTGCTTCTCTGAACCCCATAGCAACCCTGTTTCCTTTCTATTCCTACATCTCATCCCTAACTATCCAACCCTGGATCTGGTATCCAGCAGACTAGAGGAATTTTTTTTTTATTTTTATTTTTTGTTGGTCATGGGGTGTGAACTCTGGACCTGGGCACTGTCCCTCAGCTCTTTAGCTCAAGGTGCAAGCTCTGCCACTTGAGCCACCATGCCACTTCCATTTTCTGAGTGGTTTATTGGAGATAAGAGTCTCACAGACGGAAGTGGCGCTGTAGCTCAAGTGGTAGAGCGCTTGCCTTGAGTTGAAGAGCTGAGGGACAACGCCCAGGCCCAGAGTTCAAGCCCCACGACCGACAAAAAAAAAAAAAAAAGAGTCTCACAGACTTTCCTATCCAGGTTGGCTTTGAACCACAATCCTCATATTTCAGCCTCCTGAGTAGCTAGGTACAGGCGTGAGCCACTGGCGCCTGGCAGCCTAAAGGAATTTTAAGGCAACATTCTTTTTTCCAAGTTATAGGCTGTAATCCAATTTGTTAGTAATGAACTGAATTAAGGCAGTGATCAGTATCTTTTTGAAAAGAGAGAATAGAAAAGCATATAGAGTATATAGCAAAGTTTTACTTTATGAAACTTTTGTTGCATATATGTGGTTACATTGTATGGATGTCTCCACTGGGTTGGAATGTAAGAGTAGAAACATGGTGTGGGGATTATCTGAGGAACTAAAATGCTAGGCTGTAAGATATAAAAGACCAGAGAGGCTGGTGCAACACTGCGCCCCAGTGGATAAAAAAGGTAACAACAGGCTACAGGTGTCCACACAACCTGGTACAAGAAACCATGCGACCAGTGTTCTCCAGCTCAAACAAAGGTCACAGTACTAATCCATGGTAGGCAATCCATTGGGTGTTACCCTTGAAACCATATACCGAAGCACTATGAATACTAGATCACATGTGGCCTGAATTGAAGGCAAATAGTTCAGAGTGCACAGAGGCAAATGGATAACATGCAATAAAAGCTAACCCAAGCCAGGTGCCGGTGGCTCACACCTATAATCCTAGCTACTCAAAAGGCTGAGATCTGAGGATCGTGGTTCAAAGCCAGGCCGGGCAGGAAAGTCTGTGACTCTTATCTCCAATAAACTACCAGAAAACCGGAAGTGGTGCTTTGGTTGTAGTGGTAGACACTAGCCTTGAGCTGAAGAGCTGAGGGACAAGGCCCAGGCCCAGAGTTCAATCCCCCATGACCAAAACAAAAACAAAAAGCTAACCCAAAATAAACAAAATAATTTTTGTGTATGGGTGTCAGGCCTTGAGCTTTTGATCATTGGCACTTTCTTTTTTTTTATTTTTTTTTTGTCAGTCATGGGGCCTGAACTCTGGGCCTGGGCACTGTCCCTCAGCTCTTCAGCTCAGGGCTGGTGCTCTACTATTTGAGTCATAGCACCACTTCCAGCTTTTTCTGCTTATGTGGTGCTGAGGACCCAAACTCAGGGCCTCATGCATGCAAGGCTAGCGCTCTACCACTTGAGCCACAGCACCACTTCCGGTTTTCTGGTGGTTAATCGGGAGATAAGAGTCTCAGGGACTTTCTAGCCCGAGTTGGTTTTGAACTGCCATCCTCAGATCTCAGCCTCTCAAATAGCTAGGATTACAGGCATGAGCCACCGGTGTCCAGCTTTTTGTTTTGTTTTGAGACAAGGTTTCATCCTATAATTGGTCTGGAACTTTCTAAGTAGCCCAGGAAAGTCTGAAACTTGTGATCCTTCTGCCTCTCTCTCTTTTTTTCTTGCCAGTCCTGGGGACTCAGAGACTGGGCACTGTCCCTGAGCTTCTTTTGCTCAAGCCACAGCACCACTTGAGCCACAGTGCCACTCCCAGATTTTTGTTTCTGTAGCACTGAAGAATTGAACCCAGGGCTTCCTGCATGCTAGGCAAGCACTCTACCACTAAACCACATTCCCTGTCCCTGCCTCTCTTCTTAAAATGCTGGGACTCAGGCAATAATCCTAGCTACTCAGAAGGCTGAGATCTGAAGATCATAGTTTGAAGCCAGTCTGGGCAGGAAAATCCATAAGGCTCTTTCGTGCCAGTTTTGGGGCTTGAATTTGGGGCCTGGGCACTGTCCTGAACATTTTTTGCTCAGGCTAGCACTCTATCACTTACACCAAAGCTCCACTTCTGGCTGTTTGGAGATAAGAGTCTCATAGAATTTCCTTCCTGGCTGGCTTCAAACCACGATCCTCAGATCTTAGCCTACCAAGTAGCTAAGATTATAGGTGTGAGCCACAGGTGCCTAATTATGACCTTTAACTCCAATTAATCACCAAAAATCCAGAAGTGAAGCTGTGGCTCAAGTGCTAGAAGGATAACCTTGAGCAAAAAATCCAAGGGACAGTGTGAAGACCCTGAATTCAGTAAGAATTGCCCCACCCCACCCCCAAAAAAACTAACAACCCCATGCACGTATTTCTGAGGCCAAAGATGAGAACCACAGTTGGAGTGCTTTTCTGCTGGGCAACTGTCCTCTCCCCGAACTCCTTTGTCCCATTTTCTTGGTGCTCTATCTCTTACCTTACTAGCCAAGCTTCACTGTGAGTCCCTAGGTATCTTCTGTGATAGACATAACTATCAGGGGGCTGTGCCACATCTGTGTTTCAGAGGAACCACACATGTGGTTACTCAGCACATAGTAGGTACTTGCTAGTATACAAGTGTTAGAGAGCTGTTTGAGCTGAATTGGAGGTCATTTGAATAGTGCCTATTATATGTCAAAGTCAGATTCCACTATCAGCCACCATCTAGCGTTACCTCCGGCTCCACTGAGTTCCTTCCTTTTACACAGGTGGGCCTTCAACTGCCTTCCCTCACCCAGCTCTGCCCGGACTTACTTTGAAAGATATCAGCCTCCCAATAGATAGGGTTACAGGCACCCATCCTTGCAACAGCTTTTAAAAACAGCAGTCAGGGGCTGGGAAGGTGGCTCAGTGGTAGAGTGCTTGCTTTGCATGCATGAGGCCCTGGGTTCAATTCCTCAGCACCACGTAAGCAGGAAAAAAAAAGCCAGAAATGGTGCTGTGGCTCAAGTGGTAGAGCGCTAGTCTTGAGCTGAAGAGCTGAGGGACAGCGCCCAGACCCAGAGTTCAGGCCCCACGACCAGACCCCCCCCCCCCCCCCCAAAAAAAAAAAAAGCTGTCAGGCTTTTCCTGACACTCCGGTTTTCAGTGGTGATGAGTCACCAGTGCCCAGGCACTGTATTTCTTAAAGCTTCCCAATTATACAATATGCAGGCAAGGAACATTGGTCTAAGCCAAATCCTAGGATGCAAGAATCAGCAGAGTGGAAAGGACAAACTGTGGAAGGACTGGCAACACCAGGGCAGAATTGCTGATAAGGAGCTACAGGACTGCATTGCAGATAAAACACCACAGCTGCAGAGGTAGCAGGCGGGGCTGGAAGAAATGGACCCTCAAGTTCAGGTTCAAGAGGCTAAACTTGATGCCAAGTGTGTGGAGAACTTAAGAATGACAGGTGTTTTCAGTGTTTGATATTCTGGTGTTTTCCTGAAGGAACAAAGAAGCAGCAGCTAGTGATACCAGGTAGACAGAGGGCAGAAAATGGAACCCACAAGACTGGGTGGTGGTTTAGATACAAGGCACAGGGATTCATTTAACAGGGATTAACAAGTACCTACTGGCCTTATGGGGGAAATATGAGAGGGGAAGGACTCAGAGGCATATAGACAGATAGTCAGCTGGATGCTGGTGGCTCATGCCTATAATCCTAGCTACTCAAGAGGCTGAGATCTGAGGATCAGGGTTTGAAGCCAGCCTGGGCAGGAAAGTCTGTGAGACTCTTATCTCCCAATTAATCACAGAAAAAAAGCTAGAAGTGGTGCTGTGGCTCAAGTGTCAGCCGTAAGCAGAAAAAGGAAGACTCCAAGTAAGAATGCAAGGCCCTGAGTTCAAGCCTCCGATAAAACAAACAAACAAACAAACAAAAAGACAGTGAGTTAAACACAAGATGTGGGATGTTCTAAAGTTCGATGATCCAGTTGCGCCAACAAAGCAATAGTATTAAAGCAATAATATCAATAGAGTATTACTAGAAAATAAAGAACTTAAGTAGGGGAGGGAGGCTGGGAAGGGATGTGAAGGGTAAACAAAGGAGGAGGCTGCAATGCTTGATAAGAAATGTACTCATGGGGCTGGGAAGGTGGCTCAGTGGTAGAGTGCTTGCCTTGCATGCATGAGGCCCTGGGTTCGATTCCTCAGCACCACATAAGCAAAAAAAGCCGGAAGTGGCGCTGTGGCTCAAGTGGTAGAGCGCTAGCCTTTAGCTGAAGAGCTGAGGGACAGCGCCCAGGCCCAGAGTTCAGGCCCCACGACTGGACCCAAACCAAAAAAAGAAATGTACTCATTATTTTGCCCATGTAGTTGTAACCCCTCTGTACAGTATGTTCACAAAAAATAAAAATTAAAATTAAAAAAAAAGAACTTAAGTAGAACAACAACCTAAGACATAAATCTGGCTTGGATCCTGATTCTGACAAAATGTTTTAAAAACAAAACCAACATTCATTTTAAGAAAAATCTGACAAAGGAC